ATCCATGTCAGTGCTATCTTTGTACATTAAGTGAAGAAAAATGGATGCCCTTTAAAGCTGTCTTAAGATTGGGAGGAGGGGAAGAAGTCAGAAGTAGCCAAATCAGCACTGTAAGGTGAATGTATAATGATTTCCCATTAAAACTCACAAATCTGACCTCGTTTGATAAGACGAATGACAGAAACATTGTAATGGTGAGGACCTTATGGTGAGCTTTCCCAGGTATTTTTCTGCTAAAGCTTTGGTTAATTTTCTTGTGGTAAGCAGATGTTCTTTGACCCTTCAGAAAGTCAACAAGCAGAATGCCTTTGAGCAGTCCAAAAGACTGTTGTCAGGACCTTTGGTCTTGACTGACCACTTTGTCTTTGATTGGACAACTTCCACCTCTTTTTTATTTGTTTATATAGAGAGAGGTGTGTACACTCCGACAATGGGTCTTCATGCCGTGATTTACCCTCCCACCCCTTGACCTCATCCAGAGCTCACAGGCACATATGTGAGCCTGACATATGCAGTAAGACCTAGGATATGAACTTGGGACCTTCCTGCGTGAATTCAGTATTACAGAGCATTGAGGTAGGCACTACTGTGGTTAGCTTTTGATTTGTCTTCAGGATCATACTTAAAGCCATGTGTCATTTCCTGTTATAGTTGCTCAAAGAAATGGTTCAGTATCCACCCCACTTGTTTAAAATTTTCATTGAAAGGTCTCTTTTTTTGCAGATGATCGGGGTACAAGAGTTTTAATACCCATTAGCACTCAGCAGAAAGTTTGCTCAGCTTTAATTTTTTGGTCATAATTGTATAAGCGGAACAAGTCAGGATGCCCATGGTGTTTAGCTATCAGTTTGGCTGTTAATTATTGACCTTTCTGTATTAGGGCATGAACAAGATTAGGGTTTTTTTCTTGTTCATTAGGGCATGAACAAGATTAGGGTTTTTTTCTTGTTCATTAATGTGGATGGTCTGCCACTGCTGAAGATGTCATCTTCAACATTGCCCTGTCTCTTCTTATAACAGCTTAGGCATTTATAAACCACTGATTTCTTTGGACCACTGTCCCCATAAACTTTCTGTAAAGCATCAAAGATTTCACTGTTCTTCCACTCAAGCTAAAATATAAATTTAATGTTTGTTCCTGCTTCAATTTTAGAATTCCTGTAACTCTGATAGGGGCTCTTTTTCATTTTAGGTATCTTATCCTTTTTAGTACCTCAAACTGATCCTATGTAGACATTCTGTATAGCAGGTTGGTATAAGTTTAATTTGGTACAAAACATTTTGAAATTTATGCAGTTTTTTTCATGATACACACTTTTCTTGAACTTTTTGGAGATCCTCTGTATGTATAAAAGCAGGAAAGGAGTCAAAAGTTAAGAGTGAAAAAATAGAGAAGAGCCAGACTTTAGTAGACCTTCTTCACAGAAACTGAACCAGCTATAGTTTTTTTAAACTGAAGGTTAATATCAGATGTGCCCTTACAAAGTTCCCCAGCAGCAATGCAATGAATGAGAGAACAGTGCAAAGAATCAGAGAGCTGCAAGATCAAAAGTAGGAAAACCAGCTTGCCAGCTAATTTATTCATTCATACATTCAGCAGCTATTTATCAACTGTCTATATGAACCAGACACTATTTTCTGCTTCTGTCCAGATGAAGATTGTGTGTAATACAGTAAGAGAGGAAAGAAATACAAGGACTTGACATAAGGAGACAGCAGGATGGTTAGGAAGAAGAGTGGAAAAAATCAAGAAAACGTAATATATATATGGGAATTTTCAGAAAGCTCATGGAAAATGTGTATTATGAGAAAAAAAAAAAACCTGTATGGATTTCAAAATTTCTTTGCACCAAAATAAACTCATACTTTAAATCCATTTTTCACAAATTCTTTGAAGTCTCCTCACAGTGCCTGAGGGGAAGGAATAGACGTTAAAGAAGAAATCAGGACTGACTTCCAAATTTCTACTTGGATAACAGGGAGATGTTAATGTCATTCACTAAAATAAGGAATTTAAGAGCAGAAGCAGATTGAGGGTAGATCAAAGAAATTCAGTTTCTTGCATATTGATGTGAGAAATAATATTAAAGCAAAAATGTACTATAGGAAGTTAAAAGATAATTTTAGTGTAGAAATAATAATAGTTTATTATAACATGCCATCATCTGGCATACAGTATTTATTCATGTTAGCTGTTATTATTATTTTGGTTATGGTTTTGAATTAGACAAACTTGTCTAAATCCTGGAATTAGGTAGATTTAGATTTGAACATGTCCCTACCATCTTTTAACTATAGAGTCTTTGGTAGGCTAACCTGAGTCACTTTCTTCATTTATAACATGGGGATTATAGTTTCTATTCTTACTACTTTAAGAGAAGCATTTAATAATACTCCACAAGTTTAGCACAATGCATAATGCTTATTAAATGTTGACTGATTAGTGGTTGTCTGGCTTTAAAAGAGTATAGGAAGGGGCTTCACTTACAGAGGAGCACCAGAGATGCTTTTTTGGGTGATGGAAATGTTGTGTATCTTGATCATAGTGGTGATTGCAGGACTGTATTATGTTTGTTAGAACTCAACAAACTGTATCCTTGAAATTGATGAATTTTTAAGATATAAATTATCCCTTAACAAAGCTAATTTTTTTAGAAAGTGACTGCTTTTCCCTTTTGTCCTAACTTCACTTTTCTCAGCTATTAGTAAAATAAATTTGACATCAAGGATTTCCAACATTTTTATCATTAGGATTCTCTAGTCATAGGCTTCACAGTGTGAAAGATTTTGCCTGTTAGGAAACAAGAAGGAAGAAATAAAACTATATTTGTGTGTAACACTTTTCTCCTATACTAAAATGACCATGTACCTGATTGATCAGTTTGGGTACTGTGCTTAATATGTAATTAGAGTAAGTCAGGTCACTAGCCATTTTTCAGAGGTGTCATAATGTAACCAACAAGCTAGTGTTTGTTCAGTAAAAAGCTATGAAGTAGAATAAACCAAGAAGAAAAATTAGAAGCAAAAGCAATATACTTAAATATATACTTAAAAATTCTTAAATGAGAATAAAATACAAAAGAAAAGAGTACCATGTTTGTATTTATGTGTGTTCAGTGATTCCCGATTTATAATGGTTCAAATGAAATGTTTTGACTTTCCAAAATTATGAAGGTGGTACACATTCAGTAAATGTATTACACTTTCTGTATACTTTTCAGTAAGTTATGTGAAGGATTTAAGTGTGAATTGTAAGATAGACTTGTATTAGATGATGTAGCCCAACTGTAAGTTAATGTAAGTATTCTGAACATATTTAAGGTAGGTTAGACTCTGTTACAACGTTGGCAGATTAGGCATATTTAATGTATTTTGAATTGCAATATTTTCAACTTAAGATGGGTTTACCAGAATGTAACCCTATTGTAAATCGAAAAGCATCTGTGTAATATATTTTTGTGAATGTGTATTATGTAAACACACACATACATAAATCGTTCACAGGCTTTTCCCAACTCATTCTGAAGCCAGTATTTCCCTGACACCAACAAAAAGAAAAGCACAGATCAATTTCGCTTATTTATATAGATGGAAAGATTGTCTTGCAAAATTCTAGCAAGTATTTTGCTAGAAAAATAGGTAAACCAGACTGTCTCAAAATCAAAAATACTTGTACTTCAAAAGACACCATAAAAAAGCGAAAAGTTAAAGAATGGGAGAAAATATTTGCAAATTACATATCTGACAAAAAGATTAATAGCCACTATATGAAAAGAACCCTTAAAGCCTAACAATTACAAAAGACAAATAATATTAACAAGAAAAGGACAAAGGATTTTTGAATGGACATTTCTTAAAAAAAAATCAGAATCTTCATAAAGTTCAGGGAAAATGTCTGCATAAAACTGTACGTGGATTTCAAAAAAGTTTTGCACTAAAATAATTCAGTACTTTTGTTTCATTTTCCATGAACTTATTCCATGTCCCAACATTTACATAGATGACCAGTAAGCACATGAAAAGAACCTCAGTATGATAACTCATTAGGGAAATGCAAAGCTAAAACATAATGAGGTATCACTGCGCATTCACCAAGATGGCTAATATAAAAAAAATGGAGAATTACAATGTTAATAAGAATGTAGAAAAATTAAACTCTCATACATTGCAGATAGAAATGTAAAATGGTGTGGCTATTTGGAAAACAGTTTGACAGTTCTATAGAAAGGTGAATATAGGATTTCTGTATGATCAACCAATTCACTCTGTTTATATATTCAAGAGAATTAAAAATGTATGTCTATATAGAAATGTATACACAAATATTCATGGCAGTGCTATTCACAAAAAATAGAAACTACCCAAATGTCTATTAACTGGTGATAAATAAAATGTTGTGTGTTCATACAATGAAATATTATTCAGCCATGAAAACGAAGAAACTAAGTGAGTCATGCTGAAACATGGATGAACCATGAAAACATAATGCTATATGAGAGAAGCCAGATACAAAAGATCACTTATTGTAAGATCACATTTATTTGAAATGACCAGTGGAAATATACATTGACAGGAACCAGATTCATTATTGCTAGGGGGTGGGGGAAGGCCAAAAATGGCAACAGCTGCTAATAGGTATGAGTTTTCTTTTGGAGGTGATGAAAACATTAGGCCTTAGATGGTAGTGATGGTTACACTTCTTTAACAAAAACTACTTTTAAAGATAAATTTTAGGGTATATGAAATATATTCATTAATGCTGTCAGTATAGGAAATAGAGATATTTTATTTTTTTTCCTGGAATTTTAAATCCCTTCAAACTGGTATTTATTCTTGTGAACCACAGGAGTCATAGGAAGGAACTTTTGTACTCATAGGGTCTTAAAATTCCCTGTGTCACAAGCTAGAAAGAATTTTAAAATTCCTTACTTCTTAAAATTTTAAGAATTAATGATTCAGGCTAATTTTAGAATAAAAATGTTATTTCCATCATAAAAATACTGAGATGCTCAGTCGCAGGATACATTAAGATCTTTCATATTCTATAGAGGATATGGTTCAATCTCTGAATACTCAGGGCTTATATTTAGTAGTTATATTTTGAATAATAGTTTTTTGTCATCATATCCTTATTTACAAGATATTTCCAATATAAAATCTTACTAACATACTACCACAGGAAGTCCAGACATGGAAAAACGTTGAACTCCCTAATGTCCGTAGAGAATGTGGCTTAAAATTATAATGATCTTTTCATGAAAAGTAGTGTTATAAGTAACCATTACTATTACTGTAAGTGGCAGCTACGCTGCTGCCAGTTCATAAAAATTCACAATGGATGTCTGCAATTAAAAAGTCATAGAAATAATACTTTTAGAATGCTCATAATTAAATAAAGCAGGAAAATACAGTCTTATCTCCCAGGGATTTCTTGACCTGTTTTGCTGAGACATCTCATTACAGGTATTTGTTAGACACTATGGAGCCTTTCTTCAGAAGTAGGTACTGAATTCTTCATACACTTTCACAGGATTTACAAACATCTTGGTCTAGCCAGACCTGGAAAAAGTGTACATGTTAGTCTGTTTGGACAACCATAACAAAATACCATGGCCTGGATGCCTTAAACAACAGAAATTTGTTTTCTCACAATTCCAGGATCTAGAAGTCCATGACCTAGATGCCATCAGAATTGGTTTCTGCTGAGGCCACTCTTCCTGACTTGGGTTCTTTTTACTGTGTCTTCGTATGGCTTCTTCTCTGGGCATATGTGGAGAGAGAGCTGTCTCTGTTGTCTCTTCCTCTCATGAAGACACTAGTCTTTTTGCCAGAAGTTGCTTGTGTTAGCTGGTGGGTGGGAGAGAAAGAGAAAGAGAGGGAGAAAACATTCCTCTCTATGAGATAGTCATGCCACAGTCCCTTTTCCTTCATCTTTCCACCTTTCAAGATTCTGGACGTGCACACATTTATCTGGCATGTTTTTCAAGTCACCTGGTCCAGGACTTGAACTATGCAGTTGGTCATGTGGGATCCAGCTGCCTTAACCACTCTGCCGCAGATTGGCCCAGAAATGTTTTATTTTGCATATATAAGATTCTAGATTAAGATACTGAGAGTAGTAAAACAATGTATATGATATAAAACCTGATCTTAAGACCACCAACATTTTTTAGGATATCTTTTGAACAAATCTATATTAGAGAGTTTTGTGTGTCATATAAATAGTGTATATAAATAGTGTAATATACTATAGAAGATTTTATCTTTTTATTTTTAAAAGTTCTTTTTATGGAGAATTTCAAATATTTGTGAAAGTAAATAGATTCTAGATAATGAACCTCTATATAGCCAATACATAGGCCCCAACAATTATTAACCCTTAGTAAATCCTGCCCCATTCCAAGCTCTGTTAAATTCTTCATCCTTCATATTATTTTGAAGAAAATACCAGGCATTATTTCTTCCACTAGTATTTTAGGCTGCATGTCTAAGGCCAGGAATGCTTTCTAAAAAAATAAGTATAAGTTCAATATCATTATCTCAGGAATGCATGTTATTGTTCCCCTAATTTCATAAAAAATCAGTTAGGTTCAAATTTATAGTCATCTCATCTCATTAATGTTTATAAATCAGAATCCAAATAAGCCTCATATTTCATAATCATTTGATACTTCCTTAAGCCTTTTTCAATATGTAAGTTCCTTTAAAAATTTTTTTTTTTAAATTTTAAGTCTTAACCATGTATTTTTGAAGAAACTAGAGTGTTTTAGTCTGGAGTTTGCTGAGCTTACCTCCATGGTGTGATTTGAAATGTTCTTCTATCCTCCACCTTTCCTATAAGTTGATAATTGAATTTAGAGCTACACTAATACAGTAGCCAATAGCCACACAAGCTATCTTTAAAATTAAACTAAAATTAAATAAAATTAAAAATTCATTTACTAAGATATATTAACCCCATTCAAATGACAAATTAGTACCACGTGGCTAATGGCTATCATACTGAACAGTGCCTCTATAGAACACTTCCATCATTGTGAAAAAGTCTGTTGGACAACACTAATTTAGGTAGAGGCTTAATCAAATTCAGGTTCTTTGTGTGTGTGTGTGTGTTCTTCCATTAAGAAGCACATGATGTCTCATTATCTCTCTTTTCTTCTCATTTTAGCAGCCATTGATGGTCAATGTCTGGTTCCATTAGTACACTAAAGGATGCAAAATGCTGACCATAGGAGTTTCAAAGAGTCACTTCTGGTTAGTGTGATCTCCAGAAGATTTATGGCTGAGTTGACATTTAATTGGGCCTGAAATTTCTCTAAAAGTTTGGTAGTGAAGATATAGAAAGAGGAAGGGTGTTTTTGTTTTCTGCATTTTGTTTTATTAAGTCCATGTTTTCAGAGAGAAAGAGAAATACCCCCAATGAGATAGATCATCACGCCACAATCTGCCCCCAGTCTCAGCTGGCCTGGATTATGGGTATAAGGATGTGCACACCAGACATATTCAGGGAGGCTCTGGGACATAAACCCAGGATCTATCCTGCTGGGTCCAGTTGTGTTACCACTATGCACTGGTCTTGACAGTTTGATAGCCTCAATGTCACAGCCCAAAGTCCTGACAGGATGGAGAAATGGAGCAGAAGGCATTGCAGCATCACCATGCTCCATTGTGAGGGTGCTTTCTCTCCAGCTAGTGTGTGTGTCCTCTAGCAATAAAAAAAAAGAAAAAGAAAAAAAAAGAAATAATGATAAAGTCTAAAGACAAAAGAAATAGCTGCCACTTTTCTAAAAGAACTTCATTAGAATATTTAATAGAAAGAAGAGATAGTATAGAAAAATGAATCCCAAGAGACAAAACTCCAGAAGTTAGGAAGAACCAGGGTATGGACAGCTTAGCAGCCCTATTAAAATTTTAGGCTTTTCCTTAAATTCAGTATAATAGAGGGCCAGCAGGTGGCACAGTGGTTAAAGCACTGGACTCTTGTATGGCCTACTATGATTCGAGTCCTAGACCCAACATCTTTTTTTTTAAAGAGATTTTTGCTATAGGGTACATGCGTTTGCCAGAAATCACACACAACCCCCCACCCCCACCCCCCCAGGGGAGATGGTCATGCCCTAAATCCTTCTCCATTCCCCTCTTGGGATCTTGGGCACGCATGCACATGTGCCTGGCATGAGTTTTAAGCCACCAGATCTGGTTCTCAAACTATGGTTGACTACAGTGAGAGTCCAGTGATGTAACCATTATGTCATCTGCTGGTTCCTGACCTGATACCTTGATTATCACTCTAGACACGTGTGTGTGGGTGCCCAAAATCCCCAGAGTGGAGGAAAAAAGATGATGGTGTAGCCATCCCCCCAGGAGAAATTTCTTACTTTCCTACTCTGTCTCTCTGGCAAGCCCACATGCCCTATAACAAAAGCCTTTTAAAAAAAGAAAAAAAAAACGGAAATAATGTTTGCTTTCTTTGGCTTAAGTATGTACATGTGTATTTATGTTTGATAACTGCTCTCACTGCACAGAGAAAAAAATTGTAGGATGCCGAGCATGTTAGTTACTTGTAGCTGTAGGTCATTTAACTTTTACACCAATGTTTTCTCCCCCAAACAAATGGGAATAGCTATGACAGATGGCCATAAACCCTGAGAACTAAGAAACATATCCTTCTCTGAATTCTTTTAAAAGAAGGAACACAAACTTCTTAATGCCATGGGATTGGTATGGAACTGGAATTCTTATTAAAAAGTGGGAAAGGAACACAAACATTTTAATGACTATGATTTTGAATGTGCAATTCCTCCAATTAGTATCTCTGAAAAAATTACCAAACTACTAGAGTTTGGGTTTTATCTGTAAAATGAGCTACAGAACCATTGTTTTAAGGATTAGCTGAGGGAATGCTTGTAAGGCACTTAGGATTTGGCCAGCACATAACTATCAAATATTGGGTATAATCATTCGTTTTCTTGAAGAACTTCAGTCCTTAAATAAAAAGAACTGAAGGAAATAAAAGAGAACAGAAAAAAAAGCATTTTTAGAAGTTCTCTACTTAATTATCTGGTTTACTAGCTAGTCAACTGCTCATGTATAGTTGTAGAAATATTTGTTACCTCAAAAAGTGACTTTTGCTGGGACCAGCAGTTGGCGTAATGGTTATGTCACTGGGTTGTCCCCAGTTCGAGTCCCAGACCCAGTGGCTTAACTCATGTCGGGCACATGTGTATGCATGCCCAAGATCCTGAGAGGAGAATGGAGGAGAAGGGATTGTGGCCTGGCCATCCCCCCCTGGGGGATGATTCCTCTGTGTCTGTTTCTGTCTTTCTGGCGAGCACACATGTCCTATAGCAAAAACAAAAAAAGTGACTTTTGCAGGACTAAAATGTCTGTCTGCATTTGATCTTGTAGTTACATTAAGAAGCGATATGTGTGTACATATTCAAATTTATGAGTTTTGTTTTCTTGGGTATTGGGATAGGGGCACTAGGGAGAAGTAATAATTTGCCTTGTAACAACAAAGCAATTTTCTTTGGGCTAGTTGCTGATAATAAGGAAATCATTGTGTTACATTAATGACATCTTTATAAAAATACTATTTTAGAATGACAGGCTACCTAAATAAAGTGTTCTTTTCTAAAATTAAAAAGAATAATTATTTTTATTATTTAAACTTTATTTATTTATTTATTTATATTCTACCAGAGAGGGGGAGAAAGTGAGAAAACAGGCTGCCAAGTCCAGGACTCAAACCACTGTTGACCATATGGGAGTCCAGTTCCCTTAATTACCGTGCTGCCTGCTAGCCCCTTTTAAATGTTTTTTTAAACAATTACTTTATTTTACTTATTATTAGCATTATTTCTTAATCTGCTCTGGGAGCTGAGAAAATAAGCTACCAGGTCTGGGACTGGAACTATGGTTGGCCATGTGGGAGTCCATCTAGATGAAGTATTCTACTTATTTAAATGATAGATATATCTTATATAACAACAACAAAATCAGTTATTTGACACTGACAAGAATTATCATTTTTAAACAAAATTAACTTCTAAATAGGACTTTTTTTTTTTTTAAGAGAGAGTTTTTGTGATAGTGTTTGTGCACTTGCCAGAGAAACAGAGAGAGAGAATGAGAAATCACCCCCCAACCCCCACCCAGGGCAGATGGCCATGCCCTATTCCCTTCTCCTCCATTCTCTATTTTCCTCTCAGGATTTTGGTTGGATATGCACATACACAAACCAAGCATGAGTTTTAAGCTACTGGGTTGGGGATTCAGACCGCAGTCGGCCATGTGGAAGTCCAGTGCCTCAACCACTACATCATCCCCTAACCCCGATAGAACTGTTTTTAAGTTAGAATAAATATATGAGAAATTAGTCTTACTGTGTTTTATATTTTAAAGTTTTATCCATTTTAGAAATCATTTTAATATTTTTTGAAATTATAATATTATATTTAAAGCACAGTATTTATCAGATTTCTGTTTATCCAAAATAGTGGAGAATGGATTATATTCTATTCACCTATTTCTTTCTCCTTTTATAATATGAATAAAGTTTTTTTAATCTTCATATTACAAATGTCAAGGCTGAAGTATTCAAAACAGGTTTTCTCCACATTTTTTTGTATACCATTAGACTCATCAGTGTTTATATAAATGAGTACATATACATATACAATATGCTTATATGAACCTGCCCATTATAAACTGTACACAACTGTAAAGTGAACATTGTGTCATACCATCATTCTCTTTTGAAACATTTTTAATCTAATGTGTGCATATCTGTCTGAGTTAGTTGATATAGGATTATTTTATCTGATTCATTGAATAGTTTATTTTTG